AAACATCAAAATCCCTCAAAATAGGAGTTTGCAGTGTGTGATGTATTTGATATTACCTTCTAGTGGTGCTCTTTATATCTCCCACTGAGTGGCTAGGTAGGGCTAAGCAAATGCGAGGTGCTTCTGATTCACCAAGGAGATTGGCTGGCCTCCTGAAAATAAGGTGCCTGGCTCCATTGTGGGGCGAGATCATTCACATAAGGAAACCTTCTGTGGCGCTTGTCAGGTTTGCCCTCCTGCTAGGCGTGGCGTGAGCCGTCCCAGAGGTGGAAAGCAGGTAAGAAAGGGAAACCAGGAGTGGCGTGTGTCCTTTGGACTTGAGATCCTTGCACTGAATGCCCTGGATCTCGGAGCCGCTGCGATAAGAGGGCAGTGACAGATGGCAAGAGAGGCAGTGGTGGCAGAGACAGCAAAGCCAGATGAGGGGTGGGTCTGGCCCACACAATGAGGAAGCTGAGTGCCAGTGGGGAGGATCCTCCTTTGACCCAGCCTGCATTCTAGAAGGTCAGTCTGTCTGGATAAGCAAAGGAAAGCCCTTGTAGGTCCTTGGGAGAAAAATATGCATGGAAGGAGCCTTAGGAAGGCTCATCCGGTGAAGATGCACAAGAAACGCTTGGAGGAGAGGCCCCCTCTGGGTGGCTAGGGCAGGAGCCCAGCTGAATGAGCAACAGCAGGAACAACAAGGGAAAGAACTTTTCTGAAAGACACTGTCATCGGCCAGTCTGCCATTCTGGGCCGGAACCAAGGGCTGAAGTCACAGGAGAGGGCTTAGATGCAGCTCTAATGACCATTTGAAAGAAGAGCCCTTGGTTACAGCTGACCAGCCCAGAGGGTAAGCCTCAAAGCCTTAGACTCAAGTGCTAATAAAAATCCTCATGGATTTTTTTACTCCTTAGTATTTGGAAAAAGTTAGTTTATCTGGAATAATTCAATAGGCAAAGAGTTCATGGATGTTAGATCTAGAAATAACAAGATTCTATTGTTTTATAACGTCCCTGGGATAGGTAAACAGGTAAATTTTGGTAACTGAAAGGTTAGAGGTGGGAGTTCACCCAGGGGTGCCATGGAGTAGAGGCCTGGTGATCTGCCTGGGAAAAGCAAGCCATTGAAAACCCTGTGCAGCACAGCTCTGCTCTGACCCCCTTGGGGGTCGTCGTGGGTTGAAGTTGACTCGAGGGAAGTGGTTGCTGCCTCTCTGACAAATGTCAGGTCACTAAAATAGTGTGTTACTGATGCGTTACTGATGCACATGCTAAAAGGAATGGGAAACTCACTCACTGCCATCAAGTCAGTGCTGACTCATCAACCCTCTGTGGGTTCCCACGGCGCTGCTGGTAGTTTTGAACTGCCTGTCATGCGGATCACAGCCCAATGCATAACCACTACACCACCAGGGCTCCCAAAGAGGAATAGAAAAGGCAGTTTGAAAAATAGTCTACAGTAGTCACTTAATATGTGATGAAGGAATACAGATCAGTTTAGATTTACAGATATACTAAAATGAGCCATGGTGGCATTGTCAGGTGTTAGATTGCTAGCTGCAAAGTTGGTTCAAACCACGACTTTTTCTCACTAGTTTCTGTGAGGGAGAAAGTCAAGGTTATCTGTTTCTACAAAGATTTACAGTCTCAGAAACGATAAACGGCGTGCTATGAGTCAGAATTGTCTCAACAGCAGTGTCTTTGGTTTTGGTGATGTAACAGGTAAGAGATTGGTTTGGAATATACTAGTCTGGGGGAGAAAGATAGAGATCTGCTACTGTGTGGATTACAGGCAAGAAAACAGTCTGGGCATGTTCTACTCTGACACATGGGTTACTATGAGTTGGAATTGACATCAGCCAACAACAAATACATAACAATGTGATTAAAAATCAATTAAAAAGAGATAATATGAGAAAAAATAATAAGAAAATGAGTGTCTAAATGGAGAAATTTAATGTATAAAATTTAAATATACAAATAAGAGTATATAAAGGCAATAGAAGAAATGATTAAGGAAAGTACTAAGAGTCTTGATTAGATTTAAAAAACATACAGTGAATGAATATAGAAATAAACACAGTTACAAATTGACGATCATTATTTTTCATGAATATGACATAATGATTTAAAAAAAAATAGTAGTATAAATTGATTAAAAGTTTTCCTAGTGAAAAATAGACCATAAGTCTTTGAGCATATAAGATAACTTACAAATGTGCACAATAGTTTCATCTTACAATAACTAAAGATTAATTTAAGTGGAAAAGATTTATAAAGAACACTCAGTCCTTAACTATAGCCAGAAGATGGCATAGTTGTTCTGGAAATTGGTTTCATAGAAGGTATTAGGAACTTCAGTCCTTGGGTGTTGGGAACTGATAATACACTCAGTTGTTAACTGGGAGGTTGGAGGTTTGATTCCACCCAAAGGTGCCTGAGAAGCAAGCGTAGAGATCTATTACTTAGAAGAAAAACAAATCAGCCAGTAAAAGCCTATAAAGTCGGCAGAGTTAATATGATGAACATCTCATCCCTTTACAGCACTGATCTTAGAAACAAAGTGAAATATAAAAGTGATTATTCTTTAACCTTGGGTGTCGAATAGGGGCCCCTGCGTTGAGCCAATGACCCCAGGATCAGTGACTCAAACCCATAAGTTGCTGTGCAGGAGAAAGATGAGACCTTTTGCTCCTATAAAGATTTAAAGTCTTGGAAACATAGATGCAGTTCTTTTTGACCTGTAGGGTCAGTGTGAATCAGAATCAACTCAATAGCAGTGACTTTGATTTTTTGAATGAAAGGATAACGGATATGAAAGGATAAAGAACAGTGGATCAAACACTGACTGGAAGAAGAAACAGTGAAAGCAATGAACAAGGAGAGACATGGAATGTAGATCCTTTCGTAATTGTACCTGTGCAGTGTGGCCATTTTGAGTCATAGAAAGGCAATTTCATGGAATCCCAAGTACGACATAGACCCAGGGTAGGGAAATCTGGGTTGAAGCAAGTGATCATGTTCCATGCTACCTAGCTTCTTTTACCACACCTGCTTCCCAACCCACTGGATATGTGTTGCCACATGTTTCAGCAGCACTGGATCAAGAACAGATGGCACCAAGCACTTTGTCAGTTTTCCCTCAGCTGCTGTACACGGCCAGTGAACAGAGACTGTGTCCAAGTTTTCACACATCTGGTTA